AAACATGGAGACCTTGGCCACATTCCATTCATATCACAGAGGGGAGGGCTGATGACTTGACAATTCAGCCCCAGGGTTTCCAGGAACCTTCCAATACCCACCTGCCCTGCTATGACAAAAAAAAAAAAAAAAAAAACACACACACAAAAACTGAGGCTTGACCAACTTTTTTTTTTTTTTTTTTTTGAGACAGAGTCTCGCTTTGTTGCCCAGGCTAGAGTGAGTGCCATGGCGTCAGCCTAGCTCACAGCAACCTCAAACTCCTGGCTCGAGCAATCCTGCTGCCTCAGCCTCCCAAGTAGCTGGGACTACAGGCATGCGCCACCATGCCCGGCTAATTTTTTGTATATATATTAGTTGGCCAATTAATTTCTTTCAATTTATAGTAGAGACGGGGTCTCACTCTTGCTCAGGCTGGTTTCAAACTCCTGACCTTGAGCAATCCGCCCGCCTCAGCCTCCCAGAGAGCTAGGATTACAGACGTGAGCCACCGCGCCCGGCCATTGACCAACTTTTAATCACAGGCGTAACAAATATTTTGTGGCCCTGCTTTCTATAAACTCAAAATTATTATGTTATAATCGTTTTATTAAATAACCAAGAAGGAAGAGGTGTTCCTAAGAATTTAACCTTTGTTTTTCTCAAATGTGATTAACCTAATGTGAAGATAGGTAATGTGGCTCTTCTGGTTTTATTGTTCATATTGATCGTAACCTTCCAAAGAAAGGATGATAGAGCTGGGCATGATGGTACACACCTGTTAGGCCCAGCTACTCTGGAGGCCAAGGCAGGAGGATTGCTTGAGCCCTGGAGTTTGAGGCCTAGTGCCCTATGTTCACATCTGTGAATAGCCACTGCACGCCAGCCTGGGCAACAGAGTGAGACCCCATCTCTAAATTAAAGAAAGAAAGAAAGGAAGACGGGGTAAATTATGCCTAAGAAACTGCCAAACTCCCTTGAACACTGATGTCATGAGTTGGGTGATGGATACACAAAGGCATGTTAAACTATTCTTTCTACCTTTGTATAATTAAAAATTTTCAATAAAAAGTCACCAAAGGCTGGGCGTGGTCACTCACGCCTGTAATCCTAGCACTCTGGGAGGCCGAGGCGGGAGGAATGCTTGAGCTCAGGAGTTTGAGACCAGCCTAAGCAAGAGTGAGACTCTATCTCTACTAAAAAATAGAAAGCCAAACAACTAAAATAGAAAAAATTAGCTGGGCTTGGTGGTGCATGCCTGCAGTCCCAGCTTCCTGGCAAGCTGAGGCAGGAGGATCACTTGAGCCCAGGAGTTTGAGGCTGCTGTGAGCTAGGCTGACGCCACGGCACTCTGGCCCACGCAAGAGTGAGACTCTGTCTCAAAAAAAAAAAAATCACCAAAAAAAAAATTGCCAGGCACTGGGCTGGGCACTGAAGTAGAACACAATGAGTAAGACACAGTTCCTGCACTTTTGAGGAGCAATAATCCCTCTCATTATCATTATCATGTTAACAGCTTACAAAGCACTTTCACAAATGTATTATCTGATTCATCCTATAAATGCATATCATGATTGCAAATTCAACCTGGAAACCTCCTACTTTTATTGTTCCTTTTTTTTCTTTGTCTTTTATCTTTTTCTGTGATAAATGTAATCTAGAGAGGGCTATATCTCTCTCAGTTGGGAGTGGGAGGGGTGGAGGGAGACCAAAGTAGAGAGAAAACCTTTAGCCTATGGGCAGAGGCCTAGATTCGGTTAGTTCTAGGACATTTCAGACAATATTATCAGAATCTTAAATGCCATCTCCAACCGTTTAAACACTTAGGATGAGCCTTTCACTTACATAATCTTCTTTTGAATTCAGGGTGATTTTCCTATTTCAAGACAGTTTAAACTGGGTCACAGAAAAAGAGCACCTTTCCCAGGATTACACAGCATAAAATTGTATTCCCTGTGACTCCCAGAATCACATTCTGTGACACTCAGCTGTGAAAGGCATGACTGGCGCTTACAGCTATGTCTCCAATCCGTTTGGTCACCCCCTCTACAAAGCTACCCAAGCAACCCATTCACCATTTGAATGCTGTCACCCTCAGCTCTCAAAGTCCATAGACTGTTCTGCCTCAATTCTCTTTTAGAAGTTCCTAACTGCTCATTTTCCCCGCATGTGGTTGTAGAGTCCTATTCATGTACGATTGTTCGCTTCTTCTTTACAAGTCAGCCCTGAAAACCTTCTTCAGAAAGTTCAGCCATCTGGGCACATCCTCTTCTTCATCATCTAATTCTTAAGCGTGTAAAAATAAGCATGAGTTTATAAGCAAAATATTAGGCTGGTTGTCGGAGACAAGCACTCACCCATGATCCCCGCCTCATGCACAATGGCGTCACCTTCCCAGCCCCAGGTTCCCTGTTTACACGTGGCCTGGAACCTGATATTTCCTCCCGCTTTCTCAGGAAGTTCACACATATGTAAACGCAGAGCCCAGGGTTCTCCGAGTTCTTTCAGAGACACAGGTCAACAGTTGTTTCCTTGTCAAACACCCGCCACTGCGGAGCGGACAACACAGTGTCCCAGGATGGAGGCAGGCAAGGTGGGCAGAGGAAAGATGGCAGAAAGAAGCCCCAGTCCCCCAGTCATCAGCCCTCGAGCTTTGTGGCGAGCTATCAAGGCCTGACTCACAGCCGGTGCTGCTGCTCCTGGGCTAAAGAGGGTTAAGAAATGAAACTCTGCTGGGTCCCACGGGTCACAGGATGACAAAGGTTATGGGGTGTATTCGCCCAAGGACTGGCAGGCTTTTCTTTCCCTCCTGCTGGAGGAGGGTATTGTCAACCACATCTCACTCAGAGTCTCATTGCTGGGAACCCTGGGGGCTGACAGAGGGAAGGGGAAAGGGCCAGATGGGAGGATGCCCTTACAGCCCCAGCAGGTCTGCAAGCACCACCTGTTTCCAGCAAGTCCCTGTACTAGCCCTGCTTGCAGAAATTTCAGTAGAACCTCGTGAACAGTTGGGAGAAAAAAAGCTCCAATTATCCCTGAAACCAGCCCACTTCACTTCCCAGCCTCCTGGGGAACATCAAGTAATGAAGCAGGGGCAGAAAGCATGACCTTGTGGTGGGAGGAGCCCCCACTGGCTGCAGTCACTCTGGGCAAGGCTTGCAGGCTAGCAAATTAACCCTTGTCAGGAACACAGACCCCAGGTGGGTCCCCTTCCATCCCCCACTGCTCCTTGTTTTCAAATTAGGCAAAGGGTAGATGGGGAACAACAGACCTTTCTCCAACATTTTTTTATGCATACCTAGTTATACCGTGGTTATGAGAAGGTTTGTATGTCCTTTCCCAAAAGGTTATTATGTTATTAGGCTAGTAGGCTAGTAGGTTCCCAAAAGGTTATTAGGCTAGTAGGTTTAGGTTTTCTAAACCTACGGTGGAATTGTCAGAGGGGCAAAGACCAAAAAGAATAATAAAAATTAAAATACCTTGGGAAAGATTGGCAAGAAACTGACCTTGTTTTTTGCAACTTATTTTTTAAAGTTATGCTCCTAGCTATAGCTTCCATTTTTAGTGCAAACTGCCAAAAGATTTTTTAAAAAAGGCAAATAACAGCTCTGACTCAAGGGGAGGAGGGAGGTATGGGCAATATATGTAACCTTAACATTTGTACCCCCATAATATGCTGAAATAAATATATATATATAAAAAATTTAAAAATCACACAATAAAAAAATTAAAATAAATATCAGCAAATAAATATCAGCAAACTAAAGTTTGAGTTTATGACTTGAATCACATAATGAATAAAGTGTTCAATAAACCTGTCGTCCTGCTATCAAAATTCTATATTTGGCAGAACCAAGAGCAAAAGATTGTTTTGAGTATGCTTCAGAAACTCTGGGCTTGGCATACAGCTCAGGCTAGTAATTCTAGCACTTCAAGAGGCTGAGACAGGAGGATCCATCGAGACCTAAGAGGCTGAGGCAGGAGTCTCGCTTGAGCCCTGGAGTTTGAGGCTGCAGTGAGCTATGATCACACCACTGCACTCCACCCTGGGTAACACCTTTTCTCTACAAAAAAAAAAAAAAAAAAGAATGTTTGCACTTTAAACACTAAGTCAAGGCAAAGAAAGCTTATCTTCTAAGACTGGCTTGTTTCCACCAAGTAAAAGTTATTACGTTATTAGCTCTGAACTAAGAGATAATTGGCAAACAAAGTATGAAAACCACTGTAATTGTAAATATTGAGAGCTTAGTATTTGAGAAGGGAGTCCCATCCCCATACAATAGACAGAGGCTATTTGGGAACATAATTATATCTTTCTCTCTTTTTTTTTTTTTGAGACAGAGTCTTGTTTTGTTGCCCAGGCTAGAGTGAGTGCCGTGACCTCAGCCTAGCTCACAGCAACCTCAAACTCCTGGACTCAAGCGATCCTCCTGCCTCAGCCTCCCGAGTAGCTGGGACTACAGGCACAAGCCACCATGCCCGGCTAATTTTTTTCTATATGTATTTTTAGTCGGTCAATTAATTTCTTTGTATTTTCAGTAGAGATGGGGTCTCACTCAGGCTGGTCTCAAACTCCTGACCTCGAGCAATCCTCCCGCCTCGGCCTCCCAGAGTGCTAGGATTACAGGGGTGAGCCACCGCGCCCGGCCCATAATTGTATCTTTTATTGTAAGTTGATTTAAACTTAAAATTGACAGGAATATAGGGGGAAATGTTATGGCTTCTTGTTGTTATTGGTTTTGTAATGGCTTCAAAGCAGCAGCTTTTTTAGTGAAATACGGTAAGTTCTCAATGGTGTTGGCAGGTTCTTGGAAACTGGGGCTTCAAGCGAACCAACGTGCAACAAAACCAGTTTGACCATAGGCTGGATGATACATACATTTTTCTAGTCACAAAAACATCATCAAACTCCTAAACAGAGACCAAAACACTTCGAATATTAAACATTGAAATAAATGTGAGCTATACATACACTTCATAAAAACAAATAAGATAATTATTGCCCATGTATTTCATTTCAGGGTCACAGATGGCCGGAGCCTGTCCCAGCAACTCAGGGCAGAGGCAATAACCAGCCCTGGACGGGAGCCATCCCCTCACAGGGCACACCCAGGCACACGGGCACCCTGTAGACCCGCCAGTCCACCTACCCTGCACAGCCTTGGGATGTGCGAGGATGCTGGGGCACCCAGAGGAAACCTGCGCAGACACAGGGAGGACACGTAAACGCCACACAGACAGTGGCCACAGCCTGGAATCGTTTTTTTTTCCCTCATCAACAGTATAACAAAATGGCATTACCCTGTTATTCCAGGACCTGCTCTAGGTGAAACCAATGACTGAGTCATTCTTGCTGCCACGGAACTCAGGCTGAAGACGCCTTCCACCCGGGCCTGTTTTCAGCCCAGCACAGGCTGTGACCAGCAGGCTCCAAACCTGTGGGAGTCTCGGGGTACCTTCTAACTGGAATTCTACAGCAGAGCAATTGACCAACACTCAAACAGGACTAAAAGCCAAAATCCTCTGGAGAGAACGGATTCTGTTTTGAGGTATCTCGGGAAATAAGCTGTGCCGCATATAGATGGTGAGAAAGAGACAAAGGGACTCTGAAAAAATAACTATTCACTTTGGCGGTCACATCCCAGGTGCCTGGTAAAATCCTCTTGTCTGTGGCGCCTCCCACCCTCAGCTGACATGATTTTTTTTTTTTTTTTGAGACAGAGTCTCACTTTGTTGCCCAGGCTAGAGTGAGTGCCGTGGCGTCAGCCTAGCTCACAGCAACCTCAAACTCCTGGGCTCAAGCAATCCTCCTGCCTCAGCCTCCTTAGAAGCTGGGACTACAGGCATGCGCCACCACACTCAGCTAATTTTTTCTATATATATTAGTTGGCCAATTAATTTCTTTTTTTAATTTTTTTTTATTTTTTTTGAGACATAGTCTCGCTTTGTTGCCCAGGCTAGAGTGAGTGCCGTGGCGTCAGCCTAGCTCACAGCAACCTCAAACTCCTGGGCTCAAGTAATCCTGCTGCCTCAGCCTCCCAAGTAGCTGGGACTACAGGCATGCGCCACCGTGCCCGGCTAATTTTTTCTATATATATTAGTTGGCCAATTAATTTATTTCTATTTTTAGTAGAGATGGGGGTCTCGCTCTTGCTCAGGCTGGTTTTGAACTCCGGACCTTGAGCAATCCGCCCGCCTCGGCCTCCCAGAGTGCTAGGATTACAGGCGTGAGCCACCGTGCCCGGTCCTCTTACGTGCTTTTTTAAAAGTACATTTTTTGTGTGTGCACATCCAAGTATGTTATGTGGTTGATAGATAACTTTTTCAATTATGCCTTATATGTGCTTATATATAAGCACACTACAAGTTTTTCAAGGACAAAGATCATGTATAAGCTTTATTGTATGTCCACCTCAGTGCCAACCCCTAGGCTGGCTATCCCTTAAGCAGGAACTCCATAAAGGCTAAAATTCCTATACTGAGTCCCACATCCTGGCAACAAAGAGCCTGTTGTACCACTCGCTGCCACCAGATGGCAGGTCTCAACCAGAAGTTCTCTTCAGTGGAATTTCTTCGTTTATCCCCATTCCCTTCCAACCTTTCCTAAGTTCCTTATCTCACTGTATAGTTATAAATTGTTTAAACTTCTCTTTCTCAGCCGCGCGCAGTGGCTCATGCCTGTAATCCCAGCACTCTGAGAGGCCAAGGCGGGAGGATCGCTCAAGGTCAGGAGTTCAAAACCAGCCTGGCACTAAAAATAGAAAGAAATTAATTGGCCAACTAATATATATAGAAAAAATTAGCTGGGCATGGTAGCACATGCCTGTAGTCCCAGCTACTCGGGAGGCTGAGGCAGAAGGATTGCTTGAGCCCAAGAGTTTGAGGTTGCTGTGAGCTAGGTTTAACACCATGGCACTCTAGCCCGGGCAACAGAGTGAGACTCTCTCAGAAAATAAATTAATTAATTGAAAATTTAAAAAAATAAACTTCTCTTTCTCAAACCAGACTAAGAGCTCCTCCAGGAAAAAAATATCTCTCACCTCATCTTAGACCCGTAAGTGTTGAGTACTAGCATGAACTCAGTAGGTAATTTTTTTCATAACCTCCAGATTGCTAGAGGTAAAAAATACACACACACACACACACACACATATATAATTGGATGTGTACATGCATAATTTGCTGAAAACTAGTAAAATACCACAGCTCCAAACTTTCTTCCTCAAGAAGCATTAATTGAGCACTTCTGTGTCCTATCTAGTGTCCAGAGATGGGGGTTTAGAACAGTGAGGGAATAAAAAATATAACAAAGAGGTTTTAGCCAACTGAAACCTCTTCTTGGACAAATGCCTCCAACGCCAGCCATTCCTAGGCTGATGGTGAAGATGTAGCCTCTGCCCTCCAGGCACCTCAGTCTGATGGGAGACATCTGCCCCCTTCCTTGGGGAGACGCCCTGTGGTTGGGATGGACAAGGCCTAGCCCCAGGCAGCTTCCACCTTCTCACTCAAACAGAGCAGTCACTGCTCAGCTCGCAGACTGATCATCCCTTATGTACCTGGACTCGGGCCGTGTGGTCAACAGACCACAGCTGCTCCCATTCTCCACACAGGGGCATCTCCTGTTACCCTTCCGTCACCTGGGGCGGGGAGGAACCCTGGGTCTGAAAGGGAAAACTGAAGCTTTCCCTTCTTTCTTCCCTGCACATGTTTGTTGGGGAACTTGGCAAGCCATTGAGCCCAAATTGAGGGGGCCCAAGGGAGGGTCAGAAGCTCAAGCAGCTGTGGCATTTGGACTGGGAGTCAAGTGTCCCCAGGGGGTGGGAAGCTTCCCGGGAGAAGGGGTGGAGACCAGCTCTGCTCAGTGTCACAGCTCAGAAGAATATGCATGGAGCCTCATTCTCCCCCTTCCCCACACCCTTATCTAATTAGCAGAGAAGTGTAAAAAGTCAGAAATCCTATCTCTTTGTCTTCTGGCATTCTCCAGTCACCTCCGCCCCCTCTGCACCCCCTCCTGGCTCTTGCTTGACTTGCTCCACAGTCTAAGCAGCCCCTGGAGGCTCAGAGCCCTGCAAGGAGCCTGGAAAGGAAATGTGCGGGAGCCCAGGATTTGGGGAGTTTAGTGAGAGTACACGTTTGGAAAGAAGCACTGGCCCAGGCTGGTCGCGGTGGCTCAAGCCTGTAATCCTAGCACTCTGGGAGGCCGAGGCGGGCAGATTGCTCGAGGTTGAGAGTTCGAAACCAGCCTGAGCGAGACCCCGTCTCTACTAAAAATAGAAAGAAATTAATTGACCAACTAAAAGTATATATACAAAAAAAAATTAGCCGGGCATGGTGGTGCATGCCTGTAGTCCCAGCTACTTGGGAGGCTGAGGCAGAAGGATCGCTTGAGCCCAGGAGTTTGAGGTTGCTGTGAGCTAGACTGACACCACGGCACTCACTCTAGCCAGGGCAACAAAAGTGAGACTCTGTCTCAAAAAAAAAAAGAAGCACTGGCCCAGGAAACCACCTTTGTTGTAGGGTGACCAGTCATCCAAGGGGCTCCATACTCTCCTGGTGTTAGCCCTGAACGTCCCACAGCACGGGAAAGCTCTCAATCCCGGGCAAACCAGGTTGGTGGGATCCATGCTTTCTTGGCCCCAGATCACTGTGTGACCCCGAGCAAGTCCCCTTTCTCTGGGTCTCAGTGGCCTCCTTGTAAAATGGGACTCTACATTAGACACTGTATGGTTCTATGAATGGCATCTCCATTTCCCAAAGCTGGGCACAGGAAGGGTGACTCTGATTTATTCTTCATTGATTTTAGCCCCCAGTGCTTCCCTAGGACTCCTGGAATCTCATCATGGTAGAACATGAGAGGTGGAAGTGGACTCAGGTTACCTGGTTCTACCTCCTTTCTTGCTCTATGAATACTTCTCCAGAGGTGCCCGCTCTTATTCATTATATCCACTTACACTTTCTGCCAGGTGTTATAGGTAGATACACACCTTATCTCCTATTCACTAGATACTAAACTCTTTGATGGCAGATAGCAAGACCTATGGCTCCGCAAGAGTTCAAGCCTTGCATATAACTGAAACAATTATTTGGTATTGAATCTCACAGGGAAATCTTTTGTACTTTGTCTCACAGTGGCCTGGAGGGAAGACACTATGCCCCAATGGTGTGCTGAAGATGCTTTGTGCCACTCCTGAGAGCTGCTTGCTATATTTTAGGCACTTTGCAAACTGGTTGTTAAACACAGCCATTATTAAAGATTACATTACATAAACTTAAAAAAATTAAAAACAAGGATAAATATTCAAAGTTCATCACCTCTTAATTTTTTTTGCTACATTTTATTATCATTTATACTCAAGGTTATTTATATCCATTATATCTATATGATAGGATACTGTATTATATGCTTACTGTACGCTTCTTCCCAATCCACATTGGTAGTTTGAAGTCAGCCATGGAGGAAATATTTATACCATGAAAATCAGCAAACACTACCAGTCGGGTTCCTGCCACTCCAAAGCCAGTTTTTAATCTTTTACCAACATGACACTGCTTCAGAGAAACCACCACTCCCTCTATCTTGCCAGAGGCTCATCTATCTCCACTGTCATCTTCTGCTCTGGTCTTCAGCTCTAGATTTCCATCCCTGGAGGAGAGAAACCAAGAGTTGGATCATGACTTTAAAATGAATGAGAATAGTCTGGGCGCAGTGGTGCATGCCTCTAATCCCAGCAGTTTGGGAGGCTGAGGCCAAGAGTTCCAAGCTGCAGTGGGCTATGATCATGCCACTGCACTCCAGCCTGGGTGACAGAGGGAGACTCTGTCTCTAAAAACAAGAAAACAGAAACAAAAACTAATGAGATAACAGACCTGTGGTTAAAGGAATTGATGCACAGATCGGCTAGAAATGATTTAATGATTTGCAGACTCAGAATGAAGGCCCTTGGTCAGTCCAGCACTGACCCCAAAGGACTCTGTAGACACAGACCCCAAAGGACTCTGAAGAAGGCACTGGTTATCCTCTAGGCATCCATCTTCAAGGTCTGCCTGGTGCCCAACTGCAGGATTCAAAGATGTATAAAATGGATCCCATGCTCACAGCTGCAGAAGAAAAGATTTCTGGCCTACAATCACCTCTGGGATGAATAAATTCTGTAAATCTTAGAATTAGCATTACAACATGGAAGAGAGCTGGGAAAGTCTTTAGGAGTCGATTTTCAACATTTTCCCCACTCCTTCACTTTACAGATAAAGAAACTGAGTCCATGTGGTGGTAAATAGCTTGCCCAAGGTCCCACCACAAATTACTGCCCAAAGCCCAGGCCTCCTGAATCTTGGAGCCAAGGACTTTTCTTAAATCCTCAGTTTCATTTACAGAAACTATAAGATCTTTAGAGAATCTGAGCAGGAGCAAGCACAGTTTGCACACACACAAAAAAACTCACTCCCTTCCCCTCTGCTTCCTAGAAAAATAAAAGGATATTTTTTATAGAATACCAACTAAGTGCCAGCTGCTATGGGGGGCACAGAAGAGTAAGACAATCACTCATGCACAGGGAGTGAATGTGGAGTCAGTCCCCAAACTCTTTCCAGCAGTGGGGGGATCCCTTGGGGCTATCACTGACCCTGTTCTCACCCCTGCAGTGAATGGCAGGGAAATCAACCCCACCTTCTTAAGTAGTGAAAGTTAAACGTTAGATTCTTGATTGGGAAAACTAGGAGACAGAGAAAAGGCCACCGAGGCAAACTCAGTGGGCTTTTCCCAAGTCTGAGACACCTCTTCCCGCAAGCAGAGAAGCCCACAAGCTAGCAGAGGAAGAGAGCTTGCTGAGACTGGGAGCCGGAGCTCTAGTCCATTAAGACCTTCTGTACCCATTCTTCTAGAAAAATGAAACCAAAAAAAGACATACAAAATAGGAGCCCCAATTTCCTATTATTAGGTTCAACCCATCTAAAAGCACTCTATCAAATTTCTATAAAAATTTCTAAACACTTCCATTTCCATACTTATCACAGAAGGATACAACCGGTTTGCAGATTGACACCAATCCTGGCCCATACTTTGAGGCACTGCCCTAAAGAGGCCTGAGGACTCCTTGGGCCCTGGAACTCCTTCGACGAGGGGACCTCTGAGCTCCTCTTCCCACCCAAAGCAGGTCTGGGGTGCTGGGAAGTGATCTGGATCACAGGGGAATGAGTCAGAACCGTTACTTCCCGTCCGTGCTTTCCTCTTCACTCCGCCAGCCTTCCTTCCCCAGCCCTAGGACAGAGCTTCGCCAACCAAGACAGACTCCCACCCCTGTCACTGTAGTCCCCAACCCTACCTAACAGTGCCTAGGAGGGGCACAAGTTCTTTCACTCACTCATTTGTTCATTCATCCAGGTACCTTCTTAAGCACAGAGTGAACCTAAAAGATTCCTACCTAGGAAGCTGAAGTCCTAGTAACAAAGTGGTAGCAAGAAAGAAGGCATTGTCCTTTCAAATACAGCCCAAGGGGTGATTCTCGGGTATATAAGAAGCTAACAAACTGGAGATGTCACCTTCAGATACAGAAGGATAGACCTACTGGGAACGGAGGAAATCTAGCAGAACTTACTTTGCCGTTAATAGAATGTGTGGCAGGGACTGTTGCACTGAAGTGTTTCTGCTCGGAGCCCCCCAGTTCCATCACCTCCAGCCTACAAGGAGCAGGTAGGGACGTGCACTCACTTGTTTGGGGAAATGAGTGTGAGGGGTCCCCCAATGGAGTTCCTCTATAATCACTGACACCTTGGGGAGGAAGGCAGGGCAAAGAGTGGGGTCTTATTGACAGATGAGGACACTGTGGCTCCAGGAAAAGGTGACCTGCCTTCAGGCTTAAGGGCCTAGCCTGCCCCAGCCTACAGGATTCTGAGAAATGGGCCCTCAAGCAGGAGGAGGCAAAACTGACTTACTTACAGAGGAAATAAACCTGAAGGGTAGGAGGAAAGCTTCAGGCCCTCTGGGTCTGGGAGGGCAGAGCTGGCCAGGCTGGGCAGGGCGGGGCTTTCCTTGAAGGTTCGGCTGATCCCTCCCCCCAGATCCCCCATTGGGTCGGTGGCTCCTGCAGCCCTGCCTGTGAGGAGCAAATGAGGAGAGCTGTTGGTTTTTCCCCCTTGGCCATTCAGAATTTTCTCACATAAATACTGAGACAGACCCTGCCCTCTCCTCACTTCCCTGGACTTGGCCCTGAGCTGGAGCTGGTCCCCTGGGGGCGGGAGGGCCATGGGAGACCTGCTCCCGCTCTGGGTGGCCGTGGGCATATGCTGTACCGCATTCAGCGCCTCTGCCTGGTAAGTCCTCGCCCCAGCCCGCCCTCCCCACCAAGGAAGCCCCCCAGTTGTCTCATCCCCACTCACCTCCGCCTCACTTGCTCTCTCTCTGGTAGGTCAGTGAACAATTTCCTGATAACAGGTCCCAAGGTAGGATGGTCTCCAGCTCCTGTTTTTACCCCCTGGGGTACTAAGGTGGGGGGACTCTAATGGCGAAGAAAAGAGGGGAGGGGAGACAGTGCCAGAACCCCCTCGCCCAGCCCATTCGAGTCCCGCCTGCTCCCCGCACCCCGGATGACGTGTGTCAGGCGGAAGCTCACAGCCCTTTCCCATGCCAGGCTTATCTGACCTACACCTCCAGCGTGGCGTTGGGTGCCCAGAGTGGCATCGAGGAGTGTAAGTTCCAGTTCGCCTGGGAACGCTGGAACTGCCCTGCAAACGCTCTCCAGCTCTCCACCCACAACAGGCTGAGAAGCGGTGAGTTCGTGTGGGGCACGCACCTGTATGCGAGGGTGCGTGTGCTTGGAGCATAGCTTTATGCGTGACGTGTCTGTGTGCAGTGAAATGGCAACGTCACCGGTGATCTGCTGACCTGCCATTTCCTTGCTGTGCGACCTTGAGTGGATCACTTCCCCTCTCTCGACCCCGGATTTGTCATTCGGGTCAGCCTCCAGCTCCATCTAGCTCACCAGAAGTCTCCTATGGGTTGAATGAGGTGACTATGGACCGTCTCTATACAAACATAAGCAATCACTCTATTTTTTTAATGCGCGTATTTGTGTGTTTGTACACACTTGTTTTGCACTGATTTGCATGAAATAAAAATGAGGAAAGGGCTGTGTTTGCAGTTTCACATCTGTCAGCTGTCATTTTTTTTTTTTTTTTTTTTCTCTGTTGCCTGGGCTAGAGTGCAGTAGCATCAGCTTAGCTCACAGCAACCTCAAACTCCTGGGCTCAAGGGATCCTTCTGTCTCAGCCTCCCGAGTAGCTGGGACTACAGGCATGTGCCACCATGCCCGGCTAATTTTTTTCTATGTATTTTTAATTGGCCAATTAATTTATTTCTATTTTTAGTACGGAAGGGGTCTTGCTCTTTTTTTTTTTGGTAGCAAAATGCTGTTTATTTTGAGCATCTGGGTGCAGATGTGTAGAGGCAGAAAAAGTCATCCAGGAGAGTAAAGGGGAAAGCCTTGGGTTTTATAGAGGGTTTTTCTAGGGGGAGTAAATAAATTCTTTTCAAACAACAATAAGGAAAGTAAGTTCTCCTTTTGGGGGTCTTGCTCTTGCTCAGGCTGGTTTCCAACTCCTGACCTTGAGCGATTCTCCCGCCTCGGCCTCCCAGAGTGCTAGGATTACAGGCGTGAGCCACCGCGCCCAGCCTGTCAGCTGTCAAAAAAGAACAAAAAGGCTGAGAGATCACACTGAGCTGTGCCTCAGGTGGGGGGGTGTCTGCGTGTGTGTGTGCACGCGTGTGCAGCCATGTGTGGACAGGCACCCATGTAGCCTTTTGTAACTGTGTGCGGTGGTTTGCATAAAAGTCATTTTTGAAGAAACAATAGAGTGTTGCCTGAGAAGAGTTGGGGAGAATAAAGACGATGGGGACAGAAAGAAATTCCTTATCACGGCGTGTACAGGTAGAATAGAGAGTGTGAGGAAGTGAAATATGACCATGTTTGTAAAGAACAGTGAGGTAAGAGCTCAGTAAGTAGCGGCCATAATCATTATGACTATTACACGGCCTAGCTTCATGGTCAGAACGAAGCAAATGTCTTTCTCTCTTTCTTAGGCCACCCTCACGGCCCCGAGTCTCACTGCTTGAGGCCCAGCAGCAGTGGCTAGGGGACAGAGGTCTAGACTGGCTCCAGGAGAGCAGGGTCCTGATCCCAGCACCACAGACGGAGAGTGGTGGTCTCATTATTCTCTGTCTGGGTTTTACTTTCCCCACCTGTTGCATGGGGTCGCCCACTCCTGCCTGGATGCTGTCAAGAGGCTGCAAAGACATGCATGGTTTTCCCAAGTAGAAGAGCAGCCTCTTAAACCCAAAGGAGGCAGGAAATAGGGGAGAGAAATAGCATTGTTGTTCCAGAGCCTCTGTTGTGGGTCATCAGGGTCCCAGTGTCCATTCAGTCCCCTCTTTCTCTCCAAAGCTACCAGAGAAACGTCCTTCATCCATGCTATCACCTCCGCTGGAGTCATGCACACCATCACCAAGAACTGCAGTATGGGCGACTTTGAAAACTGTGGCTGTGATGAATCAAAAAATGGGAAAACAGGTAAGTTGGGCTTTCCCATTGGGGAGGAAGAGGTGAGGGGCTGCAGAGCTGAGCGCAGACTAAAGTCTTTCAGGGAAAGTCTGAGGGACAGGGTTCCCTCAAAGCCCTACACTCCAGCAGCTCTTTCAATTGTGGGATATCCTGGACCTAGACTTGCCCATGCGTTGAGCCTGGGTCCACGAGTCCAGGGGTTAGCAAGAAACTCTAAAACTAACCAGGTGACTAGGAACAGGAAGGCCAAAGAGAATTTAAAGCTATCTTTGGTATTCCAGGTTTGGAATGGCTCATCTATAATCCAGAGCTACTCAACAATTTGCAGACCACCTACGAGACATACAAATGTACCACTAATGAGGGAGGAGGTGGCTCTAATAAGACTATTGTAGAGGCCAGGCATGGTGGTGCACAGTATATAATCCTAGCACTTTGGGGAGCCAAGGCAAGGATTGCTTGAGGCCAGGAGTTTGAGATCAGCCTGAGCAACATAAGCAAGATTCCATCTCTAAAAACAGTAGAAAGGGTGGCTCACGCCTGTAATCCTGGGAGGCCGAGGTGGGCGGATTGCTCGAGGCCAGGAGTTTGAAACCAGCCTGAGCAAGAGCGAGACCCCATCTCTATAAAGAAATTAATTGGCCAACTAATATATATATATAAAAAATAAATTAGCTGGGCATGGTGGCACATGCCTGTAGTCCCAGCTACTCGGGAGGCTGAGGCAGCAGGATCACTTGAGCCCAGGAGTTTGAGGTTGCTGTGAGCTAGGCTGACACCACAGTACTCACTCTAGCCTGGGCAACAAAGCGAGACTCTGCCTCAAATAAATAAATAAAAATAGTAGAAAGATTAGACAGGTGTGGTGGCACATGCCTGTAGTCCCAGCTACTGGGAAGACTGAGGCACCAAAAAAAAAAGAAAGAAAGAAAGAAAAGACAAAAAAAAAAACAAAAACACTATTGTAGAATAATATTGCAGAATTCCAGAATGTTTGAGCCATAATGAACCTTTAAGATCATTAAGGCTAACTGCATGTGCCTACTTACACTGTGGGTATCAGAGACTGCCTAGAGCTGGGAAGTGCCTACGGGGTGGGCAGTTGGCTTTGGGAACAGGACTTCCCTCTCTCCCACCCCAAGCACCTCCATTTCCCTGTCTCACCTTCAACAACAGCTTTACACAAAAAAGTCTCTTCCCCTGGGACTCAGCGGGCAGCTGTATGCAGAACTTATTCTTTCCTTATGTGTAGGAGGCCATGGCTGGATCTGGGGAGGCTGCAGCGACAATGTGGAATTTGGGGAAAGGATCTCCAAACTCTTTGTGGACAGTTTGGAGAAGGGGAAGGATGCCAGAGCCCTGATGAATCTTCACAACAACAGGGCCGGCAGGCTGGTGGGTATAGGAGTTGGCTCGTATTGACAACGGCTTCACAACTGCACAGCCCTGCTCAACTTACCAAGAGCTATCTCCTACCTATATCTTATCCTCACACCCAACAGGACTGAGACAGCTGCCCCGATTCTCTGGATAACAAAGCCAGTTAAGTCTGAGCCAAGTGGCTTGTCCAAGGCCATACAACTAATACGTGTCAGAAAAGGCAATGAATTCTGATCTTCTAGTCTGTTTCTCTTATCTCTAAATCTTAAGCTGTGCCCTGCCACAGGCTTTCTGAGAACACAGAACAATACAGAATCAAGGCCATGCTTCCAAGACTTACATTTTTAATTACTTCAACTGCATGTCCTAGGAAATTTATAGAGATTTGCTGTCTAGTCTTGTGTCCTAAAGTCTGTCTGGGCTGTGAGGAATTGGGACTGATCTAGGCTTCTCTGGAGGGTCTATTCTCCCCTAAGACTTCTGGTGGGGTGGCAATCTCTGGAGTTTTCTGAACTCAGATCTGGAAGCAAGTTGGATTTAGAGCCAAGAGCATAGAAATTCCCCTGTGGATCTATACCTAGATGTCCTGGTTGCCCATTGAAAGGTGAAAAGGCTTTTTAAGCAAGTATAACCATGGGTAATTAATTGCCTTGCAGGTATAGAGGTTCAGACTCAAGGAGCCTCCTCCCGTTTGGAGGAGGGGCCAAAGGACAAATCCAGACCCCCACAAATACTCTAGTGCCCAGCTTAAAGACAATAACAGTGGCAATGATCATATTTTCCTTTATAATTTACAATGTACTTTCTGGATCATTATTTTATTCAGTTCTTCTTCCAACTGGGCAGATAGAGAAACAAGCTCAGTAAGTGATGGAGTCGGGCCTGGTGCCTAAGTTTCTAGACTCCAGTACCCTTGTCGACACGTGCCTGGCTCTCCATCGCAACCACCCAGGGAAGCTTTACGATCCCCAGGAGCAGGCCCTTAGCCCCCTGAACATTCTCCTTGAGCAGATCTGAGGTAGGGTCCAAGAGTAAATATTTTTCATAAGCTTCCCCAATAATTCTGCTGCTCCTTCGAAGTCAAAAAGCACAGCTCCAAAATATTCCATTTAATCGCTAGCCTTTGGTCTTCCCTACCCAGAGCCATTCTTCCTTTTGTGTCCTCTCTCTGTGAAGGCAGTGAGAGCCACCATGAAAAGGACCTGCAAATGTCACGGCATCTCGGGGAGCTGCAGCATCCAGACGTGCTGGCTGCAGCTGGCCGACTTCCGGGAGATGGGAGACTACCTGAAGGCCAAGTACGACCGGGCGCTAAAGATTGAGATGGATAAGCGGCGGCTGAGAGCTGGGAACAGCGCCGAGGGCCACTGGGCGCCCACGGAGGCCTTCCTTCCTAGCGCGGAGGCTGAGCTGATCTTTTTGGAAGAATCGCCGGATTACTGTACCCGCAATTCCAGCCTGGGCATCTACGGCACAGAGGGTCGCGAGTGCCTGCAGAACAGCCACAACACGTCCAGGTGGGAGCAGCACAGCTGTGGGCGCCTGTGCACCGAGTGTGGGCTGCAGGTGGAAGAGAGGAGAACCGAGGCCACCAGCAGCTGTAACTGCAAATTCCAGTGGTGTTGCACGGTCAAGTGTGAGCAGTGCAGGCACGTGGTGAACAAGTACTACTGCACACGCTCCCCGGCTGGAGCCCTGGGGAAGGGAAGCGCCTGATAGCACCCCATGGGAGCCCACCTGATCAGATGCATGTCGGTGGAAGGGGACACAGCTTCTCTTTTGGAGAGAGTAGATTGGAAAACAACTGGAAAATCACAGGGTTGGTCTGTAATCCTCATATCTGCTATCTATGAGAAAATGAAGGCCCAAGATTATATAGCATATTCTTGGCAGACCTGAAATTGGAACCTGGGCCTCCTGACTTGGACAGACCCCATTTAATCTTTTATGCAAGTTAGTTTCTGGTCTTTGTTCCTATACTTAAGCAGCTTGCTAAAAGGGGGGGGGGATTGGTTTGGGGCTTGCATCTAGAGGGACCTTCAAAGTATTTGTTCCTTTAAGTTTCAGACCATGTCCAACTCAGCTGTGCTACTGGGAATCAGAGAGAATAGAAGCAAAACATGAAAGAATTCTGTCCAGACACATGAAGGAGCAACCTTCCCCCATTCTGTCTAGCTCCAGAAAGACTAACTACAAATCTATGCAGATAAATGAGGCGGAGTCCACATATCTGCCTATTGGGAGGGTTTTAGAGTGTCAGATGTTAGATTTTTCACCTGAGCATGCACTTTTGAAAAGTTCTCCCCACCCAGGACCCAACATAACTTGAGGACTTTTCCAGCTCATAAACCATCTCTGGAGCCATGGAAAGGGAATGGTCGTAGTAAGTGGACAGGTGACTAAGACTTATCCAGAGGTCCCACAAGAGGGATTTTCCCCCAGAGAGCTATAAAACGACACCGTTTTGTTATTTTCCCAGATTGAGAACTCAACTTCATTTTGGGGGTGGTTTAGAAATATCCAACGCCCTTTGATTTTTAATGTTTGACAGTTAATAAGGTTGAGACCCAGACACTGGCCAATAGGAAAGCAACATAGACTCCCAGATATAGAAGGTATTATTTTAATGCAAACTAAGCAACTTGGGGGATAAGGAAGCTCTTTGAACTTGGACCATATTCAAAGTGTGTTTGCTCTCCTAACTTGGGCTTCCTGGGGTGTCCGTACACCAAGACCTGGGCCCCAGGGCAAAAGACTGGGAGAGTTGTGGATTCTACCTTCCTCCATTTGCACTTCTACATTTTCCAATGGTAATCCCTGGAGGAGGGGTAGTTCCCCGTAAAGAGAGCCAGGAGGCTCAGCCACTGGTCTCCTAACTTTGAATATCTCAGCCTCTAGGGACTCTCCCCTGTCTGCTAGGCCCAGCACCCTGCAGGGAAGGAGGTATGTTGAATAAACAAGTAAAATGATCACCAAGAATGGGGAGACACCCACAGTTTATATTGTTTTAAATTAGAAAACAATTTAAATGTTCAATGATAGGATAAACTAGTTAAATCACAATGTTTAAAGAGTGGAAAAATAAACACTAAAATATTATTTTTTAGAAATAGTAACATAGAAAACACATGATATAATTAAGTGAACAAAGTTGATCACAAAACAGCATATTCAGGACTAATCCAATTTTGTTTTAAAAAATATAAGAATATGTGCCATCATGTAATACCAAAACAGAGTGGTTTATTTTCCTTTTTTTTGTTGTTGTTGTTTTTCTGTATTTTTACATTTGCCTACAATAAATATTTTTGTCCTCAGAAAGAATGTGGTTTTAGTGTGTTTTGTTTTTTTCTAGTGTAAAGAAAGATAAATGTTCATTAGGAAAGTTGGCATCTCAAAAGAAACCATAGTCAGATGCCTTGAAGGTTCACTCTGGTCTCTATAAATTCTAGTGCATTTAAAACTACCACATAGGCCAGGTGCAGTGGCTCGCACCTGTAATCCTAGCACTCTGGGAGATTGAGGCAGGAGGATCACTTCAGATCGGGAGTTTGAGATCAGCCTGAGCAAGAGAGAGACACCCATCTCTACTAAAAAAAAAAAGAATGGAGGAAAAAAAGAAAGAAAGAAAGAAAGATTAGCTGGGCATGCAGAGCACACCTGTAGTCCCAGCTGAGGCAGGAGGATCACATGAGTCTGAGGTTGCAGTGAGCTACGATGACGCCACTGCGCTCTACCTGGGGCGAAAGAGCGAGACTCCGTCTCAAAAAAATAAAAAATAAAAATCATAAAACTACCACAGATGTTACAGAACAGAGCCAATGAAAATTTCTATAAAGATCAACCTATGTCAAGGAAGTAGAAGATTTTCCTCTATTTCCTCTATGTTCTTCCTTCAAAGGCAGGCTAAAAAAAAACCACACTCCTGCAGTGACAAAGAAAGTGCGAGTGGTGCGCGCCTGTGTGACACCGTGGAAGGAGGAATGGGGGAGAAACACTATCTAAGGGCGAAAATTGTGGTAAAGAAATAGGCAACTAAAAGAAAAGATTATTTCCCTGGGGCTCAGAGAAAAAACAAAAACATAAAATTATCTGGCCCTGAGCTTAAACCCTCAATTAAATATAGATGTCAAAGTACTCACCTTGAAACTTCAGTCGTGACACTGTGCCAGGGAGACGAACAAACTGAATTTTCTCCCTGCGTATCTTAACTGAATCTCCATGCAGAGAATCAGGGCAACTGATGCTTTGACATTTTCCCCAGGACCTTGCTGACTTACCCAAATAATCTTAGGGGCCATTTTCAGGAAAAAAACCACCCCTGCTGCCTTGTTCAAATGCTCATTCCAAGACAACAAGCCTTGTGTTTACTGTGGGGTTATGTCACAGTTTTCACTAAGAAAGCCCAAAACAACAGGAATTCCATTAAAAGTTTGCCTAATTTCCCCCAAAAGCTCATAGTCCCCTACTCTCTTCTCCTTCCAGCCTCTTTCATCCTCATCCATCTTACTTTCAGAGCAATCAATCTTCCTACATGGACCCTGGACCAGAAACTAAAGGAATTTGGATTTCTCTACATCCATCACTTTGCTGTCAGGGATTCATTCTAAGGCAATACAGCTTCATTCAGATTCATTGGTTACAACCCTACATCCCTTCCCTTTTGGTTCATCCTTAACAAGCTGGCTAGCGTTAAGGTGACAGAACAGTAAACCCCCTGTGTTCGATAGGTTCAGGGCCCAGGAAAGACAGAGTGGCCACAATCTGGGGTGGATCTTGCAAGCCTGCTGAAAGAGGAATCACCTCAATGAGGAAAACCTGTCCAAGAGCCTTTGCACAGCTCAGTAAATCCAGGTCCTGCAGCACTTCCCCTGGAGAATAGAATTCTTTTTCAGTCTACATTAGAAAGGAAAACGTGCTTGTGAGGCCCCTACACAGCCTTTTCTCCCTCGCCTTCTTCTCTTCTTCCTTGTTCTTCCCATCTGAACTTTGATGTGGGCAGAATTAGGGACTTCTAAGAAAACCCAGGGTCTCCTGTGGTTCCCTGCCAATCTACTCAGGCTTGCTGGTGCATGGGAGAACTAGAGTGGAAAGAAGTAATTGAGGCCGGGCGCGGTGGCTCACGCCTGTAATCCTAGCACTCTGGGAAGCCAAGGCAGGCAGATCACTCAAGGTCAGGAGTTCGAAACCAGCCTGAGCAAGACCCCCCTCCCCCGCCTCTACTAAAAAATAGAAAGAAACTAATTGACCAAATAAAATATATATATATAGAAAAATTAGCCGGGCATGGTAGTGCATACCTGTAGTCCCAGCTACTCGGGAGGCTGAGGCAGGAGGATTGCTTAAGCCCAGGAGTTTGAGGTTGCTGTGAGCTAGGCTGAAGCCAGGGCACTCTAAACTGGGCAACAGAGTGAGACTCTGTCTCAAAAAAAAAAAAAAAAAAAAAAAAAAAAAAAAGAAGTAATTGAGCATCTACTAATTGTAAGGTGTTTAATAAATATTATCTGCCTCGATTCTCAGAACAACCCAATTAAAGAGCTGCCGTTATTCCTCTCTTACTACTAAGGAAACTGTGGCTCAGAGAGGTCAGGCACTCGGACCTAAAGTTAAATACGGGGGTGATTTGAATTCAGGCCAACCACCTGACGAATCCACACTCTTTCTTTCACACCACTAACACTCTGGGAGCCCCGCGACCTCTGGCAACATTCTTAGCCATCGTGAGGGTTTTGTTGAATGACTGCCATTCATATGCAGCGGAAGGTGTCCTCTCCTCCCGCTCCTGCAAGTAAGAGAGTCGTATTTCCCAGCGCTGCTCCAGAATGAAGAAACCTAACTTTTGACTTGCAAAGACCTTCTTTAGAATGATAAAGCAGATAGCCTGGCTCCTGCTGACTTGGGAGGGCAGAATCCTGGTTCTCTAGGGAGTACTCAAAGAAAAGGGCTAACCATTATGGTCTACATTAGAGGTCAAAGTTTCAAGAGGGAATGTCAAAGGAGGGGTGTTTATTTTAGAGAATGGAGGAAGGAAAAGAGGGTCCAGAGTAAGTTTCTAGCCCCAAATCACAAACTACTCATAATCCTCATTGATGACAAAAGACAGTGACCCAGGGCCCAGATGAAGGTGTTCTGGCTGGGGGGGAAAGGAAATAAAAGCGAGGACCAGAACAAAGGCTTCCAGGAGAGGTTAAAGACCTTTTGGGTAGGAACAGAGGTCCAAACCAGCTAATCCTGCTGGGTTTCCTACCACTGGAGGAAAGTGGGGCCTGGAGAAGGAAAGCATCCTTCCCAGTATCCCCTGTGAGATAGCAAAGGAGCTAAGACTAGACTCTAGGCCATGGACAGACTTCATGGCTGGTGCTCTGCCTGCCCAACTAGGCTGCCCTTCTCAGGCACCATCAGGAAAGGGATGTGTGCGGGAATTCGAAAGGGCTCTGGGAGGCTTCGGACTGCATTTGGTCAGCAAGGGACTAGGGGAGATTAGGAGGAGGGGACGTGGGGATATGGGTAGGAAGCAGATGGGATGTGGGTGGAGTAAGGCCTGGTGTTGCACCAGGTGCCAAAGCTCACTTCCACATTCCTCTCAGACTCTCAGGTGCCCATGCAGACCTGTGATGGGACTCAGTGATCTTGAGAAGGTCCCTTGCCGTGTCTCTGCCAGGAGCTTCTTGCAATCTACAAGAGATCACTTGAGGCCAGGCGTGGTGGCTCACGCCTGTAATCCTAGCACTCTGGGAGGCCGAGGCGAGCGGATTGCTCGAGGTCAGGAGTTCGAAACCAGCCTGAGCAAGACCCCGTCTCTACTAAAAATAGAAAGAAATTAATTGACCAACTAAAAAATATATATACAAAAAAATTAGCCGGGCATGGTGGTGCATGCCTGTAGTCCCAGCTACTTGGGAGGCTGAGGCAGGAGGATCACTTGAGCCAGGAGTTTGAGGTTGCTGTGAGCTAGGCTGATGCCACGGCACTCACTCTAGCCTGGGCAACAAAGTGAGACACTGTCTCAAAAAAAAAAAAAAAAGAGATCACTTCATTCAGCCACCTACTTCTTAATAGAAGAGCTCCTAATCCAGAACCAAAGGAAGAGGAGCACACTGCACACCCTACTTTGAAGGACTGTCATGGAAGGGGAAGACAGTCTTTCTCTACCTTGGACAAAGTACTTGCCAGGACATTTGCTCATGTCTACCCTGAATTAGCACTG